AGTCAACACCAAGTATGTAAATTATAAACAGCAACTTGGCATCCATCCCCATAGGAGTCCATATGCCAATAAAGGTTGAGTAATTCAATCCAGAACAAAACAAGAAATTACAATTATCAACAAATAATATTTACGTTCTTATCAAAGGGGCACTAGGTGTTTCAAGTCGAATTTGCGGAAGAGGGAGCGACTATTGTATATCCCCTTATTCACTGTATATTGTAAGAGGCGGTGGTATAATTTGTTAATTTTTATGCGAATCTTTCAATTTAATTACCACTTTCCTCTTTCTAACTTTGTTTTTTCTTTTAGTGAACAGTTATGAAATTGATCAAAAAAGTAGTCTATCAAAAGAAACTATACGTAAAATGAATGAAATTGGCCTACTTTGTTTAAACATAGATAGCAAATACAATGGGCTGGGTTTTAATACAACTTATTGGATTAGAGCTTGTGAAGCGATTGGATTAGATGGATCTGTATGGGCTACAGTGACTGCCCACCAGTCATTGACTGCTAAGGTGATTATTATTATTATTTTATTTGTCCTGTGGGTTCGTAGTGGAACATAGGGCTTCAGTAGAGAACGTATCCCTCTCACTCTCTTCTCTGCAGTCTTTTCAACCTGGCTACACGACTGCCAACAAGCTTTCATTTCTTCCTCATACACGATCTCCTCCATGTCACTCTCACACGCTCAACTCGTCCTTTCCCATTTGGATTCCACTCGACGGCCTGACCTGGACTGGCCTCGCTACACCTGGTGCCTATTGTCCCCAAATCGTCTTCTCAGTGTATGTCCAATCCAAGCTATTTTCAATTTCCCTTGCATATTTGTTTGACGATAGGCTCTTAGTTGGTTGGTTCGTTGTCATCCAGCCAGAGTTCCTTGTTGCTTATTCTTTCTGGCCATCGGATCTCATCTTCAGTACCGAGTGAGCGAGGGAGCGTAGGTGACAGCTGTTGATGATGTATGTGTGTAGTTTGTTGGAAATGCTTTTCGTGACGCGCCAAGTTTGTGAACCATCACATAGGAGCACTGACTTGACTGAGATTACTGTTGAAAATCCGGATCTTGTTCAGGCTTTATGCTGGGTGCAGTGCAGTGCAGTGCAGTGCAGTGGATCTTCACATTGATGAATTCCTGTCTTGCTGTCTTTCCGACCCTGGCTTTGACGTCCTCATGTGTGCCCGTGCCGCCTGTAGTTGAAACGATACTACCTAGGAAGGTGGGTAGGTAGGTAGGTAAGTAGGCAGGTAGGTGAAGAGACAACTTCCTTTAGATGTTTTCCGTTCATCGTGATTGGTGCTTATTATTATTATCATTATCATTGTTGTTGTTGATATTGTCGTCGGTTGAGTATCTTCATCACCTCTGTCTTTCCTATGTTCACCTGAAGGAAGTCCGGTCTTCGCTGCCTCATTTCGTCTAGCCTCCTCTGTCAACTTGTTAGTTTGTGCCTGTACATCTTCCAGTTTGTTCGACGTGAGACATTAGACATAAATCATCATCATCATGGTTGAAATCCAAATCATCTTCTGGGGTCTTTTCATTTGTCAAGCAGCGTTTGGCTATCTTCTCACAGATCTCCACAGTTTGTTGCATGATGCAATCCATCCCAATCGGTTACCGGTTAGCTGGTTTCTTTTCAGAGATTGTCATGAATCTTTTTTTAGTGAACTCTCTGGTCTTTTTAAGGATAATTACCGTGATTTATCGACTAACGATCTTTGACAACTCATTATATTGTAAACTCCCTACTGGGATCACGTTTTTAGTTGCATTCCCCTTAAATGTTCGATGTTTACTGTGTTAATATGTATCTTACTAAAGGATGTCAGTTCCATCGAGTGTACCAATACGTCATCTTACTGACGAATGCCAACAAGTATGAAACTTACGGAAAACAATGCTTCTTCTTTAATATAGGTGTAAAACTTGGGCACTGTGGTAAAATTTAACTCCATATGAGATTTGTTTATTTGATTTATAACACACAATGTGTGATACAGTTTTATTTACTTGATGATCATGTTTCAAGCATAAATTATCATTGCTCATAATCTTATCAGTGTAATCACACTCCACTTTCGACATTTGATTTTTATAGAAAGGAGTTTACAGTCTCCATTGTGTTACCCTACAAGGAAAGTACATCGTAAACTTTACGTAGGATCCTCAACAAAGCTGGAATGAGGGTGGCATTTAAAACTGCAAGTTCACTCAAAGATAAACTTTGTTGGCTGGCTTAAACATCCGATAGACCCAATTCAGCAAAATAATCTAGTCTATTAAATTCCATGTAATGACTATCAGGTCAAGTACATAGGTTAAACTAACTAGTCGGTGTCAGTTAAATTAGCGGAAGATAGGAATTTAGCTAAATATAGACCGGCACACTCCAGTAAGATCAATAATCTAGAAAGTAACTTGGTTATTACAATGTATGGATTAACATACAACTACACAATAGGGTGGGTGGGATAAAACCACTGTACTCAAGTCCAATATAATTTGGTGGAGAGAAAGATTGATTACTGAATCTTTGTTCATTGAATTAACCAACACCTAACACATGTAACAGGAATGAAGCAATATCTATACCAGAGATATAGAAAATGTTACTACCAATAAAAACAAACAATATGAGGCTACGTGACTATCGAAATCAGATGTCTGAAGTGCTGTATGATTACATTGAGATATGATTATGAGCAATGATAATTTATGCTTGAAACATGGTCACCAAGTAAATAATACTGTATCACTCATTGTGTGTTATAAATCAAATAAACAAATCTAATATGTAATACTTCCTGTTAATTGCTTTCAACCTTTCGAATATCAATCAAAGTGTATTGTGACACTGAATCTTATAAGTTGGTGATCGTATCTGAAAATGATCGATAGAATTTGGTGAGCGCTTAGGAATTGGACAAAAGGTAATCTGTTCCTTTTTAGTAACTATTGAATATAAGCTAACGAAATGGGATGCCAATAGCCATTCTACTTTCAACCTTAAATGTAGATAACCTATTTATTTGTCGGATTTTTTTTCAAGGGAATGGATAGGTGAGTGTTACATAGCCAACTGTTTCGTTGGTGCGAAACTTCTTCATATCCGGACGATAAATACCCCAGAAATTGTTCTTTTCCTGAACTGGATGATTTTGCTTGTAAAGCTTTCATCCTTTTTCTCCAACCAACATCATCATCATCATTAAGTTCAGTAGGAAGTAATGAGCTATCAGGATTCCTTTGTGATTGATTAATTGGCCTGTCGTTTCTATATGGTGTTTGATTGATTGGTAGTTTCCTTTGATTGCGGAGAACTTCTTGACCTCTGACCTTATAGGTGATTATCATCTTTTGTGTTGGTTGATAATAAGTTTGGGTCTATATCTGTTGATAGCTGACTGACCCGATTGCCAAGCTTCTAAAAATTCTCTTGTCCAAATCCTCCTCATTTTAAAAATCGACTTCATGACCATTGTTATCCACGTGCATTGATATGATTGGCGAAATGTCGTGCCCGTTTAATTACCAACTGATGTCTGTGTAGACGAACACGGAAGGGGCAATAATCTTGTCCAGCATACTGTAAATCCCAGCTGTTGTACTTTGTGTTTGGTTTGTCTTCTTTGGTTGTTGCATCTTTCGGTGTGCGTAATACAGCCTGAAGTTTTTCGATTTCCATGATCTCAGTGGAATGGGAGTTGTGACCAGCGTAGCTCGTCAGGGTATTGTTACGTGCAGGCTCGACTACCACGTCAACGTAGCAGCTGTCGACTGGTGTATAAACATTAAAATTTCAAGCAACATCTTTTGGTTTCGAACTGTACCTTATCTTCTTCAGCCATGCTTAACCGGAGTAGTATTATACGCCCTGATATGAGAAGTTCCGCTCAGAGCACATGTTACATTGAGTCGGTTTATTATTATTACTATTTTCTGGTGTGCTAGATACTATCCTTAGCCCTTGTGTTTCCTTTTTTCTTGCTTCTTGCATTATGAATACATGTAGGCAATATCTCTGCTTGGAACAACAGAGCAAAAAATGTATTATTTGCCAAAATTAGCCTCAGGTGAATATATAGGCGCATTTTGTTTGTCCGAAATCAGTAGGTGAGTTTATTCACTCTATCATCGTTATTATTATTACTATTATTACCATTATTATTATTGATTGGATAATTAAGCTGATCATGTTTCATAAGATTTTCAATTATGATAGGCTTCAATCTCAGTTAGTGATTGTTAACATGGCACCTGGCAGTACTAAACAACTACTGAAGTCACGACACCTTACATCATAGCCTCTTCAATAGTATCAAACAGCAAGATTTTATTGCATTGTTTAGAGTATACTGTTGTCGATGAGGTTAAAATGTATTTTTGTATTCCAAGATGATATTCATCACGGAATGAGATCAGTTAGGGAAATATCGAAAACCTGGATGCACTAGATATCTTTCTCATCCTAGTGTATGGACTGCCCAGCCGTGTATACCCACAAACCCGCTTTCTCAGCGATCAATCTCCAGGATCTTCGGTTCTCATAGCGAGCACTTTATGTTCCAGCTATTGGGTCAAAATTCAGCGGTCCACCTTTGCCTAATTCTTTCAGTTCATGATATATTGTGACTATCATCTTGAAGCAAAGAAAACGGTGGGCTCATCACTTCAAAAAACTCTTGAATTGACCACCACCTGCAACTCGTCCAGAAATACCACCAGCAACCGCAGAGTTACCAGTGAACACAAACCCTCTGACAAAAGCCGAAGTCCTGAACCCCATAAAGTTACTGAAAGCCGGGAAAGCAGCAGGACCATGTGGAATTCCTTCAGAAGCACTGAAAACAGACGTAGAGACAATAGTGGACATGCTCACACCATTATTGCAGATAGTTTGGAAGGAAAGAAAGGTACCTGTAGATTGGAAGAAGGGCGACCTAAGTCTTTGCAAGAACTGGCGCAGAATCATGCTCCTGTACACCCGAAGCAAAATACTAAGCCGCATCATCCAGATAGTTTACACATCCACGAGATCAATTCCGAATGTAACAGAACGAATCGCTCTTTAGATTTAAGGCTTCAATATCTTCTTCATAGAAAGACGAATTAAACGAGACACATCTATATATCAACGGTGAGACAATTTTACGTGTATTCTCTGTTGACATGCAGATGAAAATGATCATTCTAAAGCATCACTTTCGCCTGTGAACTGGTCGATTAATTTAACCTTCACTTTGAACTTCATTAAAAATAACTAACCTTAGCAGTCAGAGCGACCTAAGTGTGTGCAATAAGTAGCGCGGAATCATGCTCCTATCCTTGTCCACACCAAGCAAAATATTGTGCCACATCACCCTGAAAATACTAAAGAATGTTCTGGATTCAAAACTACGACCAGAACAGGCTGTCTGGTTTCAGGAAAAACAAATCGTGTCCGGATCAAATTGCAACGCTACACATCATCATACAACAGAGTATAAGTTGACAGTCAAATCTTTACCTTATTTCAAATTCATCGACTTTAAAAAGGCCTTCGATCGAGAAGTAATTTGGTAGGCAGCTGCTTCAAGACTGCGGTTTTAGTGCCACAAACAGTTATCAACCTCAATCAACAGTAGCTATCTGCTATGTGATGCTACATGCGAAGTGATTCACAATGGAAAGCTCAGTAATACCATTTGAGGTGGAGTGAAGACAGGAGCAAGAAAAGGTTGCCGCCTACCATCATCGCCAATGATCTTCCTGATTGTGGTCGACTGAACTGGACTGGATCATGCAACAAACTGTGGAGATCTGTGAGAAGATAGCCAAACGCTGCTTGACAAATGAAAAGACCCCAGAAGATGATTTGGATTTCAACCATGATGACGATGATTTATGTCTAATGTCTCACGTCGAACAAACTGGAAGATGTACAGGCACAAACTAACAAGTTGACAGAGGAGGCTAGACAAGATGAGGCAGCGAAGACCGGACTTCCTTCAGGTGAACATAGGAAAGACAGAGGTGATGAAGATACTCAACCGACGACAATATCAACAGCAACAACAACAACAATGATAATGATAATGATAATAATAATAAGCACCAATCACGATGAACGGAAAACATGTAAAGGAAGTTGTCTCTTCATCTACCTGCCTACTTACCTACTTACCTACCCACCTTCCTAGGTAGTATCGTTTCAACTACAGGCGGCACGGGCACACATGAGGACGTCAAAGCCAGGGTCGGAAAGACAGCAAGACAGGAATTCATCAATGTGAAGATCCACTGCACTGCACTGCACTGCACTGCACCCAGCATAAAGCCTGAACAAGATCCGGATTTTCAACAGTAATCTCAGTCAAGTCAGTGCTCCTATGTGATGGTTCACAGACTTGGCGCGTCACGAAAAGCATTTCCAACAAACTACACACATACATCATCAACAGCTGTCACCTACGCTCCCTCGCTCACTCGGTACTGAAGATGAGATCCGATGGCCAGAAAGAATAAGCAACAAGGAACTCTGGCTGGATGACAACGAACCAACCAACTAAGAGCCTATCGTCAAACAAATATGCAAGGGAAATTGAAAATAGCTTGGATTGGACATACACTGAGAAGACGATTTGGGGACAATAGGCACCAGGTGTAGCGAGGCCAGTCCAGGTCAGGCCGTCGAGTGGAATCCAAATGGGAAAGGACGAGTTGAGCGTGTGAGAGTGACATGGAGGAGATCGTGTATGAGGAAGAAATGAAAGCTTGTTGGCAGTCGTGTAGCCAGGTTGAAAAGACTGCAGAGAAGAGAGTGAGAGGGGGACGTTCTCTACTGAAGCCCTATTTTCCACAAGGAACTATTTAAGGCTAAAATACTTATAAGTCAACTGTAAGTTAAACATGAATGCAGCAGTCATGTTTTTTCATCTTTTAATTTTTTCTGATAAAAGGCTGCTGAATCGGTTCATACTTTGGGTGTTGATTAAGTTTGTGGCGATCATTCAGGAAGATGCCTGAAAGCCTTCGCAATGAATCAACATACTTTGAAATTTGTAGATAACACATGCCACCTTCCTTGAAAGTAATAACATTAGTTGTGGACACAATAATTATTGAAGAGACCTTTCTAGAAAGGTGAAGAGATAACGAAGTCTGTCAGTCAGTTAGTTATGAGTAATGAAGCAGAAATTAAATTCGGTAGGATGATGAAATTATTTTCTGTTCTATAATGGTAGTGAAGCTACTATCAATAAAGCAATTAGCAAGAAGGATTTCTATTACATAACTGGCTCATCATGCCAGTGAAAAGCCGTTTTCCTTACCATATGAAGGTCAACCCAGCATAACACTTTTGGTTACCGTTGAACGTTGTGTTCAGAAGAACTTAATCTTCGAAAGCCATTTAACTGCCGGAAGATTATCCAATTTGGGTGTAAGTTATATCGTGTCAAACTTGGAAATTGTATCAATTAACCTGTTAACTAGATATAAGTGAAAGTTATGTCATAGCTTTTCATACGCTTTCTTTATTGCTTGTATAAACTTGTAAATTTGATATTCTCCCAAAGTCGCGTGATCCTCTAAATGAACATTAACGTTTATCTTACCTTTTCTGAAAGAAATTTATCCAATAATTCATAGTTTATGTCTATACAACAAAATCAAAGTCTCAGCTTTGACAGATTTACTGAATCACTGTCGCCTTTGTAGCATAGGCCATATGTCTTGGGATCACCATGTGTAGAGTTTCAGGGAAAGGGGGGGGGGGAAGTTAGTTGATGCGCTTGTGAACCTTCAACTGAGATGACTGAGGCATTTGTTATCCATGCCTAGTCACCGTTTGCCTCATCGTACAATGTTTGCTGAACTATGTTTAGGTTGGTAAAAGGTTAGGTAGCAGCGTTTAGACTAAAACATGGCATTATAGTATAAAGTCTTTGACTGTTGGCCTGTACTGTATAGGAAGATGCTAAGTAGCCGGTTGGAGTCCACTTGACAATTAGATGGGGATGATAAGGAGAAGTTATGAAAAGGCTCCTCATTGTCGATCAATATCTGATTATTTCAACTCTTAAAGTTTAGTTCTGTTTATCAAATGAACTAAGAATCCTACTGTTGTACTCAGATGTCGAACAATTCGACCTTGTTTAACAACGGGAGATTACATCTGTCAAACGATAACAATCCTACTCTTTGTGAACGTAGCTTGTTCAACTGTTATCAATTTATGATAATAAATCTGACAATTACACTGTTGACTATGGAAATCTTTTCCTTTATTTCTTTCCCTTTCTCTTTGTTTGTTGGTGCACCTGTTATCCACCCCACCCACCCCCCGCCCCTACGTCAATGCTAGTGGTAATGATATTCAAGCATTGACAAGTTTAGCTGTAACAAGTGAGACTGATGATCATTATCTTCTTAATGGTTGTAAAGTATGGATAACCAATGGTGCTGTCGCTGATGTTTTCATCGTTTTTGCTCGAACACACTGTAATAATACTGTAAGTCTAGATATTGATGTTGTTGATTAACCACCCGTCAATTTTTTTTAGACTTTTCATTCTGAACTAGCTTCATTTTACCAGGACTAAACATTTTTAATTCTTTTTCAGAACAATTAAGTTGATTGACTCGTCTTTCGAGGGTAGTGGATTTCATGTTCTCTAGTCTCTTAGTGCTGATCAAATTGTAAAGCTATGGCATATTGATTTAGGTGAGGCAGTCGACTTTTAACTAATCGATCATAGGTCAGAACACCGTTTCATCTAATTGGGTTTGGACAACTACTTGGCAACATTAAGACTCGGATATTTGGTGTGTGGCTCATTACCTACTGTACGAATGTGAAGTGTGGTCCAGCCAGAAAACTATGACGCCCAGTTTACTTGAATATGTGTTAGTTTTTTGAAGGTAATCGGCAGGAAACCAACCATGCTTGGCCTAGTTTTACACAACTGTGTTGGGTCATGGGTTCGAATCCAGCTTCATACATCGAGTGTCTGAACAACCGGATAGTAATAATAACTCCAGATAGTGATCATAAGTGCTGAAAATACGTATTCACTCTGTAAATACATACGTGTTATTGAGGACAAAACCATGGAGAGTGTTGTAATTTTCATATAGCAGCGAATTTAAATACCCGGTGCAATTATTTCTTCTTGAACCTTGATACTTATTATCTAATCAGAGGATCCGTAGATAAGATGGACTGTTCAAAAAACTTTCACGTAACAACTTTGCCTACTAACAAGTAATCAGTTTATTATTACAAAAATATTTCAGAATTGGCTAAATGCAAAATATAATTTGTTCACCTTAGAAGCTGGCCACTTAGCTACTGAAAAAGTGAGTTCCCGCAAATTTGAGTGAGACTTCAACTCGAATTGCATGATATTAGTGTTAATTTGCTTCGAAATGTGGTTTCCTTCAGTTCTAATGAGAAGTTGTGACCGGTAGGACAAACCAAGCATTGGATGAAAGTTGTGCTATGTCGTGAACTGACAGAATTAAGAGAATGTAAACCTCTCGAATCGGATCCATTGGTTGAATGATAACGTGCTGGTCACGGAAATTGAAGTTCCTGAGTTCAATCTATATCCGAGAAGAGTCATGGGTGCGCACACTGCTGATGAGGTGTCTTGTACTATTATGAAACAGCTTTTGCCCGGTCCTCTCAGGTTTTCAATTGTTCTCCAAATGACGTCAGTCCATGATGAATGCCAACGTAAAATCAGAAGGCGAAGAATAAATGAAAGAAGTGATTATCAGTAATGGTAGAGGGAATGATACTAAAAGTAAGTATTTGATAACGGATATCCTAGATAGAGGAAATACAAAGAATGCCAGAGAATTTAAACAGCCTAATGAGAAGACGAAGATTATCTGAAACATGTGATGTATTAGCGTTATACATTTCGAACAATCTGATCACACATGGACTTGTCGAACTATTTATATGAAAATTTACTAAAAGGTCATCATTGTAGAGAAGACCAAGTCCATGTTACAGCACAAACCGAAACAACATATAAACGATTACACCACATCCCACTGTGTTTATCAATTTACATGCATGTGTGGACACACATATATAGGGAGGAGTAATCGTGATATGCAGTTAAGGGAGGCTGAACATGTACCTAAGTGACTACAAAAACAAATGACCTCAACAGATCCGATAAGTGCAGGTGACAAACATCCATCTTCGTCTATCGCTAAACATATACTAGAAACTAACCATAGGATAGACATGAAAACAGCCTTTAAAGTACTACATAAAAGTGGTCAGAGCCGAGTGCTTAAATTTATTGAAGCTCTTGCCATCCGCAAATTTAAACCCCTTTGTGTATACAAAAACAATTTGTACTCACGTTGAACCTACCTTGGTAGTATTGATTTTAATTTTCATACCAAGAATAAGGTTTTCCTTTTCTATCCCTTCCTATTCCTATGTTCCCATTAACTTCATTGACCTTTTCGTAAATTTTCAAATAAATAGTTCGACAAGTCCATGTGTGATCAGATTGTTCGAAATGTATAGCGCTAATACATCACATGTTTCAGATAATCTTCGTCTTCTCATTACGCTGTTTAAATTTATCAAAGGGACCAGTTGCTTTAAATGCCAGAGAATGTTTATGAGCATGACACTCATTTGAGTCAGCCATCAACAGAGGCGTATTGACATTGACCTCAATCTACCGACATTTAAGAAACACCAAGAATGTCAAAGTTCACGTCAGCTGGACAGTCACTGTCAAGAGAACGAATTGTATGACATAATCTGAATACTTAACTACTCGTTTCCTTAATCATGTCTACCTTTCCTGATATGCATATAACCTACTTCTGATTTAATAGTCATTATATGAAATTTACCTCAGTCAGTAGAGATATATTTCAATAACTTCATTAAATTATCAGTTTAACTATCTGACATAGATTCGTATTATCGAGACTGGGTGATTATTGAAGGTGAAATGAAAATGAAGTTTGCCTCATGATTTATACTGCTGATCTCTGAATTGCCGACCCTGCGTTCTTCGAGCTAAGCTATGAAACCTATTTGCTAACTAGATCTTAATTTGATTTCAGTCAGCTGATTGACATGTAGAATTCATGATGCGTTACTGTCTAGTCATCGTATTCCCACTCATTACCTACAGTCAAAACTTTTCATCTTAGTCCAAATCTATAGTTTTCTGGTGAATAATGGCACTTCGAATGATAGTTCTGACTTGTTAGTATACTGGGTTCTCTAAGCCATAAAAAAACTGAGATAACTAAGCCTTATTTAACTAAATGACCAATGTGTTTGGTGTATCGATTAGGCTAGAAAAGCAAGGGATTAAATGTGAAAAAGATGATAACAACACGGAAAGAATGATATATATGATCTTAATCTCTATTATAAAATAAAGTTTTGCACTCAAGATAGGTGTAGTGTACATGAACAAAGTATTTTCACACTCACAAAGGTCGTTTCAATTTTTTACGTTTATTTATCACTTCCTGAAACATCTAAGTATGCGTCCTTGACTGTTTCTACATAAATCCTTAAACATGAATTTTGTGACTCGTTTCTATAATATGAAGGAGATTGTCTCCTGAAATCATGGAGAATATTTGCAGCTCAGATGGATGGTCTTGGTTGTATTGTGTTCTCTGAACAAGGTTGTCTAATTGTGAAGATTTCATCGTCCTTCTTCTAGACAACATCATCACCAATAACTTCAGTATGAAGTGAGCTGTCAATATCTCTCCATGAGTGATTTAGTAGCTTACTCTGATCAACCGGTTTGTGATTGATTGTCTCCCTTCATTGTTATGTCACTAACTGTATAGACTTTCCTGTTGGCTGTTCCTCTGCTTCACCTCTCACCTTTCTGTCATTCGTCTTTTTTCTCATTGCTTGATAGATTGGGTCTATGTGTATACATCTGTCGATTGCTGACTGACTGACTGACTGGCTGACCTGAATGCCAAGCTTCTAGGAATTCTCTGATATTCTTTGTGTTTCCTCTCTCCGTCCAACATTTCTACGTTGTCAATATTCAATTCATGTCCATAGTTATTATCCACATCCACTGAAATGAGTGATAAAATGTCATATATGACGTTTAATAGCCAGTTGATGTTCATGTAAATGACGAAGGCGAGGAGGGCGGCCACTTTATCCAATGCAGTGTTGACTACAGTTATTCCAGTTGATTTTGTAAATGATATTCGGTTTGTTTTCTTTGGTTGTCTGCATAATAGTGTTTGGAGGGGATTTGTTGATTTATAAGCCACACCGATTCGAAGTGGTCTCAGTAATCCTGTCGTGATTTCTGATATATTCTTTATGTATGGTAGGACGATGCGTTTGTTGATTTCTGTCGATGACTTTTTAGTTGATGATGCATGGGTTGAGCATTTTCTGATAAAGTTCCGTATGTAGCCGTCCTTCTTTAGGATGGACATCAAGTAATTTTCTTCATTTCTGAGTGACGTTGTTGTACTGCAGTGTGTTCTCACTCTTCTGTGAATAGAGTCTGCAGGCAACTAATTTTGTGAGTTGTTGGGTTGTTGCTATTGCAGTTGAGGATTTGGCCTGTGTGTGTTGGCTTCCTGTACACTTGGTTTTACAGCTTTCGGCATTTCTCCTACTGACTAAAACATTCAGGAATGGTAGTTGGTTGTTTGACTCTTTCTCCATTGTGAATTCGATGTTATTGAAAACGTTCTTGATCAAACTGTAGGTGTTTTCTTTTCTTCATCTTTTTTAATGATGACAAAAGTGTCGTCCACATGGTGGATCCAAATTTTTGGTTTGATCATAGGTAGAATAATGGCTTCCAGTCTCTGCATGACTGCTTCTGCAATTAATCCGGATATCGGTGATCCCATTGGAGTTCCTCTCATCTGTTTGTATATCTTGTCGTTGAATTCGAAGTATGTTGTCATACAAAGGTCGATGAGTTCCATCAGACTTGGACATTTGAGTTTTGTGCTTTCTGAAAGATTTTTGTCTTCATTGAGAAGTCATTTAAGAAGTCAATTGACACTAAGGCCAACAGTATACACCGCTCCTCAGATAAGTGTCCAAATCACTCTACCATACAAAGCGGAGTTGAATAGTATCATATTGAGACGTAGTCTAATACCACCCATCGAGAAAGCCTATTATGTCATTAGGCTTATTATTGTTAAAGAAATAAAACACAAGTTTCTCCACAAACCTAAACACCACATGAATGATTACGCTACATTACATTTTGTATACTAGTTAACACGTGTGTGTTTGGTCACACATACATAGGAAGAAGTTATTGAGTCATACAACTGATGGCGGCTTTCATAAGTACAGGGCGGAGACAATCACAATGGAGAAAGAGTCAAACAACCAACTACCATTCCTGAATGTTTTAGTCAGTAGGAGAAATGCCGAAAGCTGTAAAACCAAGTGTACAGGAAGCCAACACACACAGGCCAAATCCTCAACTGCAATAGCAACAACCCAACAACTCACAAAATTAGTTGCCTGCAGACTCTATTCACAGAAGAGTGAGAACACACTGCAGTACAACAACGTCACTCAGAAATGAAGAAAATTACTTGATGTCCATCCTAAAGAAGGACGGCTACATACGGAACTTTATCAGAAAATGCTCAACCCATGCATCATCAACTAAAAAGTCATCGACAGAAATCAACAAACGCATCGTCCTACCATACATAAAGAATATATCAGAAATCACGACAGGATTACTGAGACCACTTCGAATCGGTGTGGCTTATAAATCAACAAATCCCCTCCAAACACTATTATGCAGACAACCAAAGAAAACAAACCGAATATCATTTACAAAATCAACTGGAATAACTGTAGTCAACACTGCATTGGATAAAGTGGCCGCCCTCCTCGCCTTCGTCATTTACATGAACATCAACTGGCTATTAAACGTCATATATGACATTTTATCACTCATTTCAGTGGATGTGGATAATAACTATGGACATGAATTGAATATTGACAACGTAGAAATGTTGGACGGAGAGAGGAAACACAAAGAATATCAGAGAATTCCTAGAAGCTTGGCATTCAGGTCAGCCAGTCAGTCAGTCAGTCAGCAATCGACAGATGTATACACATAGACCCAATCTATCAAGCAATGAGAAAAAAGACGAATGACAGAAAGGTGAGAGGTGAAGCAGAGGAACAGCCAACAGGAAAGTCTATACAGTCAGTGACATAACAATGAAGGGAGACAATCAATCACAAACCGGTTGATCAGAGTAAGCTACTAAATCACTCATGGAGAGATATTGACAGCTCACTTCATACTGAAGTTATTGGTGATGATGTTGTCTAGAAGAAGGACGATGAAATCTTCACAATTAGACAACCTTGTTCAGAGAACACAATACAACCAAGACCATCCATCTGAGCTGCAAATATTCTCCACTACTTTTACTACAGTTTCTTAAGTTCAATAAATATTGGTTTTCCATAACTGTGTTAGTTAGTAATTTGATATCTTCATCCATCGTAATTGATGTACTCAGCTACTATAGATCCTATTAAATAGGCATTTTATAAGACATCACTTGTATTGGATTAGTCAAAAGATGTGAAAATTCTATTCTTGTCCAATTTCATTCTGCATTGTTCAGAGAAACTTTATCGTTTAATTCTAGTATCTAAATTCATAGAAGGAATTGATTGTTTCAATGAAGGTTTATAACAGAGTGGTTAAAGCAAGATGTATAGGCGAAGCATATTTCTTTACCAGTTGAAATAAGATACCTATGTAATATAACTATAGATCAGTTTAAGTCATTGGATATCTTGTCCAGCTCATATGTTACTGAGAGGTATAGGATATTTCTAGGTTTATAAAACTTCCCTAGATACTATATTTGATTTCATGATAAGGTTATTGATCGGTTGTAAAAATGGGCTTGCAATATTATGCATTACTAGCGTTTGGCGTAATCATTGTGTAGGAAATTTTGAGGTCAGGCGAAGAGCACTAGGTATGATAAGCAAGCGAGACATCACCTATCTCGACCCATGATGCAATCTGAAGTTGAATTCGCTTGGTAAAAGGTTCAGGATGGTTAGACTAAAACGCACAAGCAGTCCATGAAGTCTCTACCTAATCAGTTTGAGTTTTTTTGAGGGGAGATGTAGACTGCCTGACTGTGGGGTCTCCGAGACAACAGGAATTAATGGTTGAAAACTCTTGGTAACGTGTCTGAAAATCGATGTCTACTTATGCTTTCACATTTTCCAAAGCTTGAATATTTGCACTGACCGTTATCGCACAACGTTTCTACCCATCTGTTCTTTACATACTACTTTGAAATGTGGTAACTTAATTCGATGCACTTGTGTGCAAGGTTCTATGTTGATTCTGTCCTATCAGATGAATAATCAAACTTGGTTAAGTACTTTCAGCATTGATCAGAACGTACTGTTTGATAGCGAATTCGTAGACAAGATATTCTCAAAGGAAGTAACATTGAATTGAACATGTCATGCATACGAATCACTGTTTCAAGGACCTCTTCATTCAATATTATTTATCACGTGATAAGTAATGTAGCAAAGTCTGTATGTTTCAATATTCTCTGCATTGCTGTAACTATTCCTAACTTCTTCTCATCTCACCTTGTAATCACATCTTTCTTTGTACACTGTTCACTTCTTATTTAATTTACCACGTTTAACCTTGTTTATGTACTATTTTTAATCACATTTGATTTTCCAAATATTCTGTCATGTTATGGAACTTCTTATCGGTTATCACCATTCATGGTAAAACACAGGGCTTCAGTAGAGAACGTCGCTGTTTCACTCTCTTCTCTGGAGTCTTTTCAACCTGACTCCACGACCGCCCATAAACTTTCATTTCTTTCTCACACCATCTCCTCCATGTGACCCTTGGACCCCTAACTCGTCGTTTGCCATTTGGGTTCCACTAGAACGCCTCGCCTGGCCGGGCACGTGATGTCCCTAAATGGTCTTCTCAGTGTATGTCCAATCTAATCCATCCACACTTTCTTCTGCATATCTGTTGGGCGATAAATTCTTGGTTGGTTGGTTTGTTGTCATCCAGCCAGATTTCCTTGTTGCTTATTCTTTCTGACCATCGGATCTCATCTTCAGTTTCGAGTGAGCGAGGGGGCGTAGGTGACAGCTGTTGATGATGTATGTGTGTAGTTTGTTGGAAATGCTTTTCGTGACGCGCCAAGTCTATGAACCATCACATAGGAGCACTGACTTGACTGAGATTACTGTTGAAAATCCGGATATTGTTCACGCTTTATACTGAGTGGAGTAGATCTCCATACTGATTTCAGATTAATCAAAGCAGGTCTGCCTTGCTGTCTTTCCGATCCTTGCTTTTTCATGAAAATTGTTAACTTTAATAACATCTCATGTATATTGATACTGTTGATTATTGTTACATTGTTTGACAGATCACTGCCGACTATCAAACACTAACTACATACACACACACCTACAGAGAAGATGAGTATAAATTTGCGACTGTGTCATTTCGTGAATGAAGTCACCGAGAAGAGACGTCTTGCTGAAGTACTTGTCTTCTTTCATGTTTCGATGCGTTTATGCTGTGGTCTGAGTTGTAACATTTTAGAAATCTTTATTTGAAATATTGGAGAATATTTGTAGCTCAGGTGGATGGTCTTGGTTGTATTGCGTTCTCTGAGCTGGGTTGTTCAATCGTGAAGTTTTCATCGCCTTGCTAGACGACATCATCAGCATTGACTTCAGTATGAAGTAAGGTTTACACAATGCTAAATGATGTTTTTTGCCTAATTGTCGTGGAAAGTTCTTTTTTTTTGCCTCGTTTCTGCCACACACTCATAAATCTTAGAGTGGTTAATAACTGTCTACTTGTAATAATTGGTGTCTGAGCCATCTCAGTTAGTGAAGTCATTTTTTCATAATTTCAATGAATAATTTGATCGTAAAAATCAGATCTTTGTGCATCAATTGTATCCTTGATACACTGAACAGTTTCTGTTAATCACGCAACAAAAAATTTTTATAGGCATTGCTACGTCGATACGTTTCTTGATCATTCATGATTGCTTGATGCAACTCTCTTCTAAGAATGCTGTCACGATCGTAAATGGAAATTTAGACCGCGACCAGATTCAAACCAGCGACCAACGGGTTTCCGGCCTGATGCGCCATCAACTAATCTGCGAGGTTCGACTGCTGACCAAGTTTTTACTTCACTTCAATCACCGTCCGGCCGTGGTCCAATATTTCATGTCAACCTCGGCGACCACCCAGTATAATCCTCAATAGTTTTGTAATAATAATTGTGCTACTCATTAGTAGGCAAAGTCATTATTTGAGAGTTTTTCGAACTGTCCATCTCTGTTGATTCTTTATTTATTGTAGGTGATTTTTGACTGCTTATAAAAATGATCGAAGGAATTCGGCCATCACATAAAATTAGACAGTATGAAATGGTTTCTCACCAATGACTAATCAATTTATGTAATCTTGTCCTACAGGAGGTTAGTTGTTACTTGAGTAGCTCAGTGGTAAATTCTCTGACTGCAGACGGGCATAAAATCGACGTAGAACCTCGTCCACAAACTCATCGACTCAAGTTGTCACACTTCACAGTAGTATAAAAAGAACAAATGGATAGAAAGAGATTGATACCAAAGTAGGAAAAGTAGACCATAGCACTGACTGACACGAGTTCGAATTTCCCTCATGGTTACAGACATGCCTTGGTGACGACTGCTAAAAAGCGCGAAATGCAGGTTTAGCAGAGCTGGCTTCTTACCAACTGCCTCCAAACAACTAGTATTCAATAAGGTGAACTACGGTGGTAAATTTCATGACTTCGTCGCTGGTGGTCACATTACAAGAAAATGATTAGTGGGATTCGGTTGTCACTCAGGGACTAGAGAACCATGAAATTGGTTTGTCTTCAGCTACTAATCAAATACATATATACAATTACTGTTATTTATTTCTTTTTGAAATATTACTAGGATACTAATTCAAATGAGATGACTGCATTTATTGTGGATCGATCATTGGATGGTATTGAATGTGGACCTCTGTTGGATACATTCGGTGCACGTGGATCAAATGGTAAGCATATTTCTGAGTGTTAAGAGTTGAGCATATGAAAGCGAGAGAGAAAGTAGATTGTTTTACATTTATGGATACGTCGTATTGAGATATCTAATGAAGTCGTTATGGACGTTGACTATTTCACTTGTGAAATTGGATCTACTGTGATGAACCCTCGTGATATTCATACGCTTAGTTACAAACTTGTTTGAGTAGCTATTCCTACTAAGCAGATCACGGATAGTGGCGAACTCTTCCTTTATAGCATCATCTTAACAAATAGCTGTGGCTCAGCATACTAGACATTTAACCAGGTTCATTTTGTATTGGAGGGTTACGGGACCTGTTGATGTTGGCTTTCTAATATACATTTCGTTTCAGAGTTTCATCTAACCTTCTTACCAACAGAACATCAAGAAAGTGGATACCGTCATTTCGCTTGTCTTCTCTTGTGAATTTGATTGATAGCTGAACACTATTGAATTTATTCAGAACAGCATTCTTATCTATAGATTACTCACACGTTTACTTCACAACTAGCTGAGGTAATTGCGATCCACCTCTACAGTCCTAGCCTTGATATTCCATCACTTTCAATACTGTAACCGTTAACATAATGTAACTTTCAGTATTACTTTGTACACCTCTTTACCCTACTTTCATTTTATTATCAATATTCATCTACCTAAGAATTACCTGCTTCATATTTCCAATCACAATTACTCTACTGATTATTTACATTATCATTTATAAAACATCACCATGCGATTAGGTTCCTTTGAATACACACGTTCGGCTTAATTCCTTTATTAGAAATTACTTTTCCATATTATCATTATCTGTCCCTTGGGTTCCTAGTGGAATATACCGCTTCAGAAGCATGTCTCCATTACACTCCCTTCTCTGAAATCTCTCCAACCTGGCTGCACCACTGCACACAACCTCTCATTTATTCCCACACCATCTCCTCCATGTCACCCTCACCTCGGACACCCAACTCGTCGTTTCCCACCCGGGGTTCCACTCGACCAACTGGCCTGGCGAGTGATGTCCCCAGTCGGCCTTCTCAGTGTGTGCCCAATCCAATCCATCTCCACTTCCTTCTGCATATTTGTTGAGTGATAGGTTCTTGGTTGGTTCTTCTCGTCGTCAGCCAGCCAGCCAGCCAGTCAGCCAGAGTTCCTTGTTGCTTATTATTCTGGCCATCTGAGCTTCAGTATCGAGCCAGCATAGGCAGTTGTTGATGAATGTCTGTAGTTTGTTGGAAGTGCTTACCATGACGCGCCAAGTCTCTCAACCATCACATAGAAGCACTGACTTGACTGACATTGGTGTTGACAATCCGGATGTTGTTCACGCTTTATACTGAGTGCAGTGCAGAAGATCTCCATACTGGTTCCAAGTTAATGAACACCTGTCTTGCTGTCCCTCTGATCCTGACTGCTTTGACGTCCTCGTGTGTGCCACCACCGCCTGTAGTTGAAACGGTGTTGTGTAGATAGGTGAGAGAGGCTAATTCCTTTAAGTTTCTCCCGTTGATGGTGATTGGAGCTTGGTGGTGGTGGTGGTGACGTTGGTTGGGCATGTTCATCTCCTCTGTCTTCTCTATATTCACTTGAAGTCCTGTCTTCTCTGCCTATTTTGTCAACTTGTTGGATTTCGCCTGTAGATCTTCCATTTTGTGTGACATTAGACACAAATCGAGTTGTAGGCTACTTGACTGATATCCTCAATACGAGAGAAACCAGTTGTTCTACACTCGGCAGGCTGACTAAAAATTGGTTACAATAGTGGAGATGCATTCCTTGTTTATCCTTTTTGTAGTCTTAATTATTTTCACCTTCGAATTATTGTCTACTTTGACATAATCGTTTTTATTATCTATTCTTCTTTGAATGCTTTTGTGAATTGTGGCAACTTGAAGTGATATACTAAAATGATAATAATAATAATAAATAAATAAAACAAGTTCTTGAGACTAACTAACATTCAGTTTATTCAGCGTTTAGAGACATTTTTTCAAGAAAAACCAAGTTAACTGTTTATCTTATATGAAATTTTATTTACTCTCACATATACTCACGTGTACACTGAAAAGACAAAGATAATTGAGAAGCTTCAATTTATTGAACATATAACTAAATTATATTGTTTAATTGGATCAAATTGATTAATCTCTATTAAGATGTCACCTCTTGTATGGATATCAGTAGAAACAATTTGATTCAATTCAACTAACGACATAAAATAAACTGCAAGTAACAATATAAAAAACCTATACTCATTTCACAAGAAGTAGTTATCGTCATTCAGTGATCTAGAGAATAAACACTATGGTGCTTAGAATGATCAGTTTACAGTTCAAAATTCAACACGGGAAAAAAATCACACATTGGGATACAAGTACATTTCAACTGATAATTGAATTACAAATTAGGATGAGACATGTAAAAGTTTCATTGCTTAACATCGGAAAGATACAAGACGTGAAACTAATTTATTTAAGTATGCAAAAGTGTTGTACAAAATTGAAGATCTACAGGCAAAATCCTACAAGTTGACAAAATAGGCAGAGAAGACAGGACTTCAAGTGAATATAGAGAAGACAGAGGAGATGAACATGCCCAACCAACGTCACCACCACCACCACCAAGCTCCAATCACCATCAACGGGAGAAACTTAAAGGAATTAGCCTCTTTCACCTATCTACACAACACCGTTTCAACTACAGGCGGTGGTGGCACACACGAGGACGTCAAAGCAGTCAGGATCAGAAGGACAGCAAGACAGGTGTTCATTAACTTGGAACCAGTATGGAGATCTTCTGCACTGCACTCAGTATAAAGCGTGAACAACATCCGGATTGTCAACACCAATGTCAGTCAAGTCAGTGCTTCTATGTGATGGTTGAGAGACTTGGCGCGTCATGGTAAGCACTTCCAACAAACTACAGACATTCATCAACAACTGCCTATGCTGGCTCGATACTGAAGCTCAGATGGCCAGAATAATAAGCAACAAGGAACTCTGGCTGACTGGCTGGCTGGCTGGCTGACGACGAGAAGAACCAACCAAGAACCTATCACTCAACAAATATGCAGAAGGAAGTGGAGATGGATTGGATTGGGCACACACTGAGAAGGCCGACTGGGGACATCACTCGCCAGGCCAGTTGGTCGAGTGGAACCCCGGGTGGGAAACGACGAGTTGGGCGTCCGAGGTGAGGGTGACATGGAGGAGATGGTGTGAGGAATAAATGAGAGGTTGTGTGCAGTGGTGTAGCCAGGTTGGAGAGATTTCAGAGAAGGGAGTGTAATGGAGATGTGCTTCTGAAATCGGATGTTCCACTAGGAACCCAAGGGACAAATAATAATAATATTTCGTGTAACCTGTAATACAATTGAAATGAAATCTTGAAAATTCTACTGGTGGTAGTGGTTATAGTTGAATCTAGGATGCGCATTTCATCCTACTTAGGACTCGTCAACTGAACATACTTGTACGCCGCTGAGGTTCGAACGCAGTTCTCTTCGCTTCAAACGGTAGAGCGTTATATACTAAGTCACTGGGTGGGGGGGTTGGGCTGTATAATGATAGGCACCTCTTTCGCAGTGAGTATCAGTTGTTGTAATGCTACTGGATTTGAGCCTCAGTGGAACAGCATCACTCCCTTATGTGGTGCAGGTACGTCTAGCTGAAAGTCGTAAATAGGATAAAATACTCATACTAGATTCTTCTGCTAGTCACCAAGATCAATGTAACGTCATAAATATCCGGTAGTATCGGGTATTCGCATAGTAGGCCATCTGCCAACAACAGAAGTTGAGCAATTGGACTTTGTATAGCAACAGTAAATTTAAATTATCATTACAATCTATGAATTCATGGTATTCCACAAAAATTTATCGTTCCTACCGTGCTAGAAATTTGTGAAGAGAATCAGAAAGAAAAGTTACTTAATTGACAAAAATTCCTGTTGTTTTATCTTCTATTTGAATTAAGCAAATAACATTACATTCAATAATGTGAAAATTCCAAAGAAAAATATCTTGGGTAAACATGGTGATGGATTCAAAGTAAGTTAATTTTATTCGGTCCTTGTTATTCTTATTGTCGTGACGTTGAATTAATTTATACCCACTGCCTCTAACTAATTTCGGTTTGTATTTTCTATTTAGTTTGAGGGGAGAAGGTGAATCGGTCGACGTTTGTTGGTAGAAGGGGGGCTCCTACGTGGATTCCTCGGCGCAGCCTGAATTTTCGTTATTGTTTAGTTTACTTGGTAGTGCCTAGCATATATCTGTGGTTTTATCTGAAACTTACTCTTCAGTTGAGTGTACCTGTACTCCCCAGTGAGTGATGCTGTCCTCACCCGCCCTCCCTTGCAGCCGGGACTGCAACCTAGCACCCATCGCCCCAAACATCAAAGCTTCATCCTCTAGGCCACCTCATATGCAATAGGTTTCAGTTACTGTTTATTGGTACTGGTAATTTCCCGTTGCTACACTTGGTTGGACTGATCGACCTCTGTTAACTGACGGGATTCCTATGTGATTGTCATAATACTGTCTGAATTTTCATTATGGTGTAGTTTACTTTGTGATGTGGCTTTGGCGTTTGGAATGATGGGTACTTGGTTCGAGTCTCGGTAGGTGAGAGAGAGAGAGAGCTTCATCACTCACTGGGATGGTGGGGGAGGGGGAGGTGCGTCCAGCTGATGAGTGAATCCCAAGTTGGATGAGACAAGTATCCTGGATTCCTCTTCTGGATACTGTCACCAGGTAAACTACACCATATTGTGAAGAGTTGTTGGTCACCATTGGGTTACCTATGAACCTCAGCTATTTAGTCTTTAGTGCTCTCATTCAGCACAGATGGAAGTATATCGATGAAGTTTCACCATGTGGTTACCACCCAGCGACGTAGCGTCACACTGAAATGTCAGATGGTAACAGTCTCAATCGACAGGAAGCCCTGGACCTATGTTTCGAGCTTATCTTCGAACATAAGGGAATCAGTGTCCCCTCAGTGACTTGAAGCTGTCACTCAGGGCTGAAGCACTAAGGAGACTAGACAACTGCACAGATTACCCACTGGTGTCCACCTCATGTTCATAAACTTATTCAAAAAAAGATTAGTTGCCTTCTGATTATCGTAGTAGTTAAGTCTCTGACTTGAACACTAAACGACAGGAGTGCGAAACACCTAGGCGGCACCAGTTTCTTCGTGGTTACAGATACGTTTTGCTAATAAATGCCAACAGATATGAAAATTTAGTCAAGTAAGGCTTCGTACTGGTTGACTTTCACCTTTTAACACCAAAACTTCATTTCGGTTGTCTACTACTGGGTGAGATTTTTTCGATCCTACTACCTGGCTGCCAAAATCTTCAATTCTGCAGCGAAATTGTTATGACTCACAGACATAAGTATGTGAATTTCCGGCAGTAGATTACATCTACAACCTCCAATCTAACTTCTCTTGTCATAGCAATCATTTGTTCTCATTAACGCCTCTTCCTCGAGATAGCCATATACCTCATTGTGGTTTTGTGCCAATGCATCAGGATGAGAAAGCTCTAAATGGGGAAGTTAAATGGTGTTTGTATTTGTTCTACTGGTCTGAAAAACTGTAGGTGGTGTGTGCACTGGTTGAGCCCAGTTACGTACCCTCTTGCAACCCCATCCGACACAAACTAATACACTGTCAAAGCTGACGTATCAGTAAACGCGGTCGTTGAGATCCATACACCTAGATCAGTGGCATGGGTCTCCAAAGCACGGACCGTCTAGCTAGCTGGCAGGATTCTGCCAAGTTCGCTGGGAACAGTATGACCAACAGATGAGGAAATCTAGCTTCCTAATTCCGCTATTCACTGGTGTTGAAGCAGACCCTAGAGGCGGGTGTAGTTTACTTTGAGAAGGTGAAGGATATTCAGTTTGGAATGCCTTAGCTATGTGTCAGTCGCTCAGGAAGAGCCTCTCTAGTTAAATCAGCATCATGAGAGAGGGATTATCTCTCAAGACGATGAGCTGCATCTGATTCAGAAGATTGTGGAGACTCAGTATGGGATATAATACACACATCTGCTCACAGGGAGGTGAGTACGGTCAACGATCCGACCACTTGACGAATATGGATCCATTGAAGCTTGACAGTTAGGAGGTTTTTAGGATTACAATGATTAGAGGAGCATCAACAGAAGGTGCTCTCTAGCAGTAGCGTTGCATGGATATTTCTTGCTCGGTAAAGATACTGACCCATGATGACGAGTTATCTGGCCTGGAGAGTGTAGTTGAGCCTAGAATTGGAGTAAAACTCTCTTAAAAGATTAACGACAAAACGTTTACAGAAAGTATGGATGATACGTGATACATATCCTAGTCAGGAATAGGAAAACAACACAAACGCGTGACTGTAATGAATGTATGTGTATGAAAGAGCTGTACAGATTGTTGCGGTGGAATGCGTAATCAGTACAAAATTATTATTCTTTTGCTGTCTGAATATCATATTATCTTTGTGCACTTTTTTTACCCCTTCTGGTAACTTATCCATAATTGAACTTTACTACTGTGTATAATATATGCTTCTTGTTATCTTCTCATAGTTAGCTCAAGATGTGCTGATATCGCATCGTTTGAATACCGTAGCTGCTAATGTCGGTGTATTGCGTTACCTTCTTACTTATATCACTGAGCATTGTTTACAACGTCATCAATTCGGTAAACCTATCGGTGATTATTCTAGGGTAGAAGAAAACTTATCTGAGATTGTCTTGAATCTATATGCTATGGAGTCAGGATTATTTTATCTCTCTGGTTTATTGGATGCTCAACCATCACGTGATCTCTCCTTAGAATTGGCTGCTTTAAAGGTAAGAACTGTCTTTTTTATATACAGAAGATTTCGATATAAAAGCATGAGATTATCTGCCATGCACCGATGATGATGATGATGTGCAAAAAACATTCAAGCATCCTAAAATCGAAACTCCATCTTGGGTGATGAAGATACCCAACCAACATCACCACCACCACCACCAAGCTCCAATCACCATCAACGGGAGAAACTTAAAGGAATTAGCCTCTTTCACCTATCTACACAACACCGTTTCAACTACAGGCGGTGGTGGCACACACGAGGACGTCAAAGCAGTCAGGATCAGAAGGACAGCAAGACAGGTGTTCATTAACTTGGAACCAGTATGGAGATCTTCTGCACTGCACTCAGTATAAAGCGTGAACAACATCCGGATTGTCAACACCAATGTCAGTCAAGTCAGTGCTTCTATGTGATGGTTGAGAGACTTGGCGCGTCATGGAAAGCACTTCCAACAAACTACAGACATTCATCAACAACTGCCTATGCTGGCTCGATACTGAAGCTCAGATGGCCAGAATAATAAGCAACAAGGAACTCTGGCTGACTGGCTGACTGGCTGGCTGGCTGGCTGGCTGACGACGAGAAGAACCAACCAAGAACCTATGACTCAACAAATATGCAGAAGGAAGTGGAGATGGATTGGATTGGGCACACACTGAGAAGGCCGACTGGGGACATCACTCGCCAGGCCAGTTGGTCGAGTGGAACCCCGGGTGGGAAACGACGAGTTGGGTGTCCGAGGTGAGGGTGACATGGAGGAGATGGTGTGAGGAATAAATGAGAGGTTGTGTGCAGTGGTGTAGCCAGGTTGGAGAGATTTCAGAGAAGGGAGTGTAATGGAGATGTGCTTCTGAAATCGGATGTTCCACTAGGAACCCAAGGGATAAATATAATCGAATAATAATAATCTAGGGTGAATAACTCCACTTTGGTATTGACTTACTTTACTCTATAAGTATATTTCGTAAACTACCACACAGAATTCATTGTAATGTATTTTAAAATGATTAGAGAATATGGATTAAAATGTTAGTTTATTTCACTCGGTTTCCGTGTAACAGAACATATCGTCGTGTTCAGAGGCCTGTTAAGGATTTCCACTGATCTACCTACCTGTCACTGATCCCGTGTTGTTGTTTTTTCCTTTCATCAATACTATTCAAATGTAATATAATACTTCAGGAGTATTTCATGGCTAAGGGGTGAAGCGATAGAATGCACTGACCCTCTTTCACTCTTCCTTAGCAATTTGTACCCAGTTCGAGTGAGTTCGTTGATAATGAAATGTCAACTAGGTTACACAACGCCCATTTGGCAATTGCTAAGAACCATCACCTCTGGCGCTTACTAGAGAGATATTCAACCACTTATGAAACAGTTACAAGTTTTTGATTGTAGGTTTTTTTCAAGCATTACCCTCATATAAAGGAGTCATGGTGTCAACAATGACTAGATTCGATTTAGAGTCCTAGGTAAGAAGGGAAAATGACTTAAATGTTTGTGTTGCGCGTTTCTAACCCTCGTCCATTCCTGCCTGAAATGTTTTGACGAAATAGGCTAAGACTTGAAAAAACTTCATATTGACCAAATCAAGGCGTGAATGTTAGTTTGTCGCATGCAGAGAGTTGTAGGCTATTATTATTATATTATTTATCCCTTGGGTTCCTAGTGGAACATCCGATTTCAGAAGCACATCTCCATTACACTCCCTTCTCTGAAATCTCTCCAACCTGGCTACACCACTGCACACAACCTCTCATTTATTCCTCACACCATCTCCTCCATGTCACCCTCACCTCGGACGCCCAACTCGTCGTTTCCCACCCGGGGTTCCACTCGACCAACTGGCCTGGCGAGTGATGTCCCCAGTCGGCCTTCTCAGTGTGTGCCCAATCCAATCCATCTCCACTTCCTTCTGCATATTTGTTGAGTGATAGGTTCTTGGTTGGTTCTTCTCGTCGTCAGCCAGCCAGCCAGCCAGTCAGCCAGAGTTCCTTGTTGCTTATTATTCTGGCCATCTGAGCTTCAGTATCGAGCCAGCATAGGCAGTTGTTGATGAATGTCTGTAGTTTGTTGGAAGTGCTTTCCATGACGCGCCAAGTCTCTCAACCATCACATAGAAGCACTGACTTGACTGAATTGGTGTTGACAATCCGGATGTTGTTCACGCTTTATACTGAGTGCAGTGCAGAAGATCTCCATACTGGTTCCAAGTTAATGAACACCTGTCTTGCTGTCCTTCTGATCCTGACTGCTTTGACGTCCTCGTGTGTGCCACCACCGCCTGTAGTTGAAACGGTGTTGTGTAGATAGGTGAAAGAGGCTAATTCCTTTAAGTTTCTCCCGTTGATGGTGATTGGAGCTTGGTGGTGGTGGTGGTGACGTTGGTTGGGCATGTTCATCTCCTCTGTCTTCTCTATATTCACTTGAAGTCCTGTCTTCTCTGCCTATTTTGTCAACTTGTTGGATTTCGCCTGTAGATCTTCCATTTTGTGTGACATTAGACACAAATCGAGTTGTAGGCTACTTGACTGATATCCTGAAGACGAGAGAAACCAGTTGTTCTATATTCGGCAATCTAACTAAAAATTGGTTACAATAGTGGAGATGCATTCCTTGTTTATCGTTTTTGAAGTCCTAATTATTTTCACTTTCGAATTATTGTCTACTTTGACATAATCGTTTTTATTATCTATTCTTCTTTGAATGCTTTTGTGAATTGTGGCAACGTGAAGTGATATACTAGTATTAACAATGGTGAAAGATTCGAACAACCAACTACCATCCTGGATGTTCTAGTCAGTAGGAGAAATGTGAGAATACTGGAAACCCAAGTCTACAGGAAGCCAACACACACTGATCAAATCCTCAGGTACAGTGGCAAAAACTCAACAATGCACGAAACTATTTGAATGTATACGCTAGTCAGAAGAACGAGAACACACTGCAGCACAACAGCTTCACGAAGAAACGAAGAGAATTACTTGATGTCCTTCCTGAAGATGAATGGCTACCCACCAGCTACATCAGAAGATGCCTATCCCATACATCATATACTAAAAAGTTATCGACAGAAATCAACAAACGCATCATCCTACTGTATTTAGAGGATGTATCAGGAATAACGAGAAAATTACTGAGACCACTTCGTGGAATTGGTGTGGCTCATAAATCAACAAATCCTCTCGAAACACTATTATGCAGACCAAAGATGCGGCAATCAAAGAAGACAAACTGAATATCATTTACAAAATCAACCGGAATAACTGCCGTCAACATTACATTGGACAAAGTGGCCGCCCTCTTCGCCTTCGTCTACATGAACACTTATTGACTACTAAACGTCACCCATGACTTTTGATCACTCATTTCAATGCACGTGGATAACAACTATGTACATGAATTCAGTTTCAACAATGTAGAAATGTTGGAGGGAAAGAGGAGACGCAAGGAATATCGGAGTATTTCCAGAAGTTTGGCATTCAGGTCAGCCAGTCAGTCAGCAATCGACAGATGTATACACATAGACCCTACTATACGGCTGTGAAACATGGCCATTGAAAGTGGAGGATACAAAAAGGCTTCAGGTGTTTGACCACCGTTGCCTTCGTAATATAGGACGTATTCCGTGGTGTCACCACTTGAGTAATGCAGAAGTTAAGTTTAGAGTTTTGGGAGAAGAGGTAAGTTAGTCGACGAGGTTGTGAACCTTCATCGACTGAGATGGTTGGGACACGTACTACGTATGCCTAGTCACCGATTGCCTCGTCACACAATGTTGGCTGAGGTGGGTTCAGGCTGGAAAAAGGCCCGAGGTGGCCAGACTAAAACATGGCACCAATGTATGAAGTCTCTGACTGTTGGTTTGAGACATGTAGGACGATGCAGACTAGGTGGTTGGGGTCCACGGGACAAGAGGAACCAGTGGTTGGAGACCCTAGGTGATCACATGGCTGAGAACCGATGTGAGTGGCGCAGATGTATACACACATTATCCTCATCTTAACGACGCTATACCGAATCTCACTATTTTGTCACTCCTCTTTCCTTTCTTCTCGTACTTTATATTTCTTTTGACTGCATTCACTTATCTTCATCCTTCACCTCACTACCTTTTTACTTGATGTGCTGATATGAGGTGTGGCAACTAGGACCGTTACTCAGTAATGCCTGGTTCTATGTTGATAATGATGATGATGATACACATAGACCCAATCTATCAGGCAATTAGAAAAAAGGCAAACGACAGAAAGGTGAGAGGTGAAGCAGAGGAATAGCCAACAGGAAAGTCTATACAGTTAGTGACATAACAATGAAGGTAGACAATCAATCACAAACCGGTTGATCAGAGTAAGCTACTAAATCACTCACGGAGAGATATTGACAGCTCACTTCATACTGAAGTTATTGCTGATGATGTTGTCTAGAAGAAGGACGATGAAAGCTCCACGATTAAACAACCCAGCTCAGAGAGCTTAAAACAAGCAATAGCATCCACCTGAGCTACAAATATTCTCCACCATTTCAATTTAGAGGAACTGACATCAGTTGAAAGAACATTGGAAACCTGGCGGCACTGGACAGCTACCGTTTCGTCCTTCTGTGAAACTCCTCAGCAGTGCGTGCCTAATGATCGAACCCACGACCTTCAGGTTCGGTGGCCAGCGTGATACTATTAAGCCACTGGGTCGGAATCCAATGAATCACTTCTAAAGATGATTCCTGAAGTTTCAGTGAGAAGTCGTGATCGGTGGAGCAAATCTAGTGGCCATGAGGACAAATACTCAACGATGGCATTAGGTGATAATCGGGCTGTGTCGTGAACTAACAGAAGTTGGAAATATTGACCACTAGATTCCCACACAGTGACTCACTGGTAATTTGCTAAGTTCGATCATTGTCGGGGAAGGGGTCTTTTGTGCGCACTGCTGAGGAGTCTCATACTAAGACGAAATAGCTGCTCTCCCGTGCTTCCAGGTTTCAAACGCTCCT